AAGGTATTGTAGGCACTGAATATGTCAAGCATTTAAAATTGGTAAATAATAAGCCTATAAAAATGTTAACTATTCTTACTAATATAGTCAACAGGTTGGAATGTATTAATAAGATAGAGTATATATTATTGTATGTAAGTGTTGAATCAGTAAATTGCACACCTGAAACTAATATTACACTGTATGTTAACTAATTGGAATTTAAACAAGAAAAAAACATGAAATCACTTATTTATTTGTGTAGAATTCTCCTTAAAACAAGTAAAGAATATTCTTATAATCACTCCAAACACTGGAAATAGTAGAAATACTGGAAAGAGTAATTTCAGAAGAAACTCAAAACAAGTATAATACAGGGAAAGAATAAAACATGAATTTATTTATTTAAGATAATTTATAAAATTGTTATAGCATTAAGTTTAATTAAATAAGAGTAAAAAGAGGTAGAAATGTCCTTGGATCTATTATATGACATAATTTTTGTCCTCAAAAGTCCATATTATCTTCTTAACATGAAGATAGCAGGAAGGGAAGAATGAAGGGGGGGAAATTGGAGGGGGAGACGAACCATGAGAGACTATGGACTCTGAGAAACAAACAGAGGGTTCTAGAGGGGGATGGGTTAGCCCGGTGATGGGTATTAAAGAGGGCAGGTCCTGCATGGAGCACTGGCTGTTATACGCAAACAAGGAATCATGGAACACTACATCAAAAACTAATGATGTAATGTATGGTGATTAACATAACATAATAATAAAAAATAATAAGTTAAAAAAAGAACATTTGAACATGTTATAATATTTGAACAAGAAAAACTGAAAAACACAAAATCAAAAAGACATTTTTTAGGGGTGTCTGGGTGGCTCAGTGGGTTAAGCATCCAACTCTTGGTTTTGGCTCAGGTCATGACCTCGTGGTCGTGGGATCCAGCCCACACCTATGTGGGGCTCCGTTCTCAGTGCAGAGTCTGCTTCAGATTCTCTTTCCCTTCCCCTCTGCTCCTCCTCCTGCTTGCTCACACATGTACTCTCTCTCTCTCTAAAATAAATAAATAAATTCTTTTTGTAAAAAAGAAAAAGACATTTTCATATTAGCAGCTAAAAATCTGTTAAATAACTGACTATTAATATAGCCTGAAACACAAGACATTTCTTTTCTAAGAAAATAATAAACACTTAGGGAGTAAATTCATATGCAAAAAATAAAGTGAGGCTATTTCCATAAGTACAGATAAAAGTACTACTTAAGCTACTGGTAGACTTACTGTAATATCAAAGTTATACAAGATTTTATAATTTTAATAAATAAATACAGGACTTAATCTATTAAAAAAGGGGTGAAAGCATAACAAAGGACATATAAATATTTAAAAAGTAGTAATAGTGTGGCTACCTGACCAAAATTCAAGGTGAGTTGATTTGAAGTGATTTGATAAAAATATATCATGCCATAAATGAAAATTTGTACTCTTTGACCAGTTCTGAAACGAATAAATAAAGTACATCAGAGTTTCTAACCAATATTTGGCATTCTTAAGTTCTGCATATCTAATAGGTCTGAAATGGTATATCATTGTTTTAATTTGCAGTTCCTCATTTATGTGTCACCTTGTCCTTTTTTCTTTCTCTCTTAGTTACTTGAAGGAAATTTTTCTTTTTTGGTAAATACTTCCTACTAATCCGTTCACAGATTCACAGTTAAATTTGCTGAATGGATGATCATTTTTAGAAACCCCCAAGAGTTATCAGTAGAAGATAGTAAGAGTAGGGATGACTAAGTATACATTGGCTTTCAGGGACAGCTTTAATAAAAAAAAAAAATGGAAATTGAGTTGAATCTTGAAGGGGGAAGGTCTTAATTAAGAGGATTAGTTTGGAAAAGAAACAAGCAACTTCACAGAGGTAGTAACTGTTGGTGTTTTGAAGCCATGAAAAAAAAAACCCACAGTGTGTCTTGGTTTAATGATTTTTAGGATGTTTCAATTATTTACTTATTGTTTTTTATTATTTTTAATTTATTTCCCAATTAGTTCTAAAAATTATTCAAGACAGCTTACACACTATATATATTCAGTGCAACATATCTGTTTGTAAGTTAGTAAAGTGTGACAAAGGAAAATTAAATTTAGGATTCGAGGGCAGCAGGGAGAAATGTAACATAACAAAATGCAGGTCATTGAGACCTTACATAATGATTAAAGCTGAACTGTCCCTATAACTCTGAGATTCCCAGTAGCCAAAGCAAATAAGAAAATTAATGAATTTGGGGATTCCAACCGCCTTTCCCAGACTAGGGTCTGGGAAAAATTTTCTCCCACAGGTCCTCATACATAAGATAGTGAGTGATACAGGGGGCTCCGTCCTCAATAGCATCCCAGTATTAGACGATATTATAAATATCTAATGACTCCTTGTAGTGTCCTTCTACATAAAAGGAGGCATAATTTGAAAGCCAAATTTAGTGAAATTGATCCAGATTGCAGCATACTAAACATTAGGATTCAAGAATTTGAAATCACTCACAGTTTTCCTCAATTCTAGGATAAAATCTTGGCTCCTTTATAGACACTAATAAATACAATCTTTGTTATTCAGAAAGAATTTGGGGGGCTTATGACCAACTGGAAAACATATATCCCAATGAAAGCTACATAAGGTGAACAAGCAGTGAACACCTCACTAAATACTTCTTTTATGAATTGAATCTGGCTAGCAAGGCTACTATTTGCAATCTCCCAAAGATGGGTCAATTGACAAATTTCATGTGGAAAGGGACTCTGTATGCTATCTTTTTCATTGTTGGGTCACCAGGTTTTAGTATAGGGGCTGTCACCTACCAAATGTTCAATAAGAGAAATTTGAGAAATAAATGAATGAACAAATGAAGGAAGTAAACTTCCGCAAATTTTGTTTTCTACAATGCAGCGTTTGAGAGTTGTGCCACATAGAGAGGTTCTATGCTTCAGCAAGGACGTGAAGCATAAGTAAGTCTTTTCTTTTACTCATTAAAAGCAGATCCATATGAATTGAAAAGAGGTAGACTTGACACACTTTTCAGAAAATTAAGAAACCTGATTAAGAGTGATCATTGTCCCCAGAAAAGAATAGCCTCGGTGTTTAAGTTTGTTATGAGGCTCAAATGAGAAAATAAAGTTAATATATGTAGAATGTCAAGATCTATACATGTGTAAATGTTTGTACAATTCTTTGGTTACCTTCCAAAAGTCTTCAGGTGCTGACCTTTCTAGCTATTTGATGTCTCCATTATACTTCTGAAAACTTGCACTGGTCTATCACCTCCTCTCCATGTTAAACACTGACTTTAGTTCCTTTTGCCTGGGGCATTGTAATAACACTTCTCCCTTTTCATTGTTTTCCCTGTCTCTGGTTTCTCCTTTTGGGGTCCATACTTCATAGCATAGAGTAGTCGGGTCCACGGATTCTGGGTTGGAATGTCCATTCCATGACTTATTAGCTGTTTGATATTGAACCAGTTACATTACCCTGATTTGTTCTCAGTATCACTATCTATAAAAAGAGAATAATAATAATAATGTCTACCACATTTTGATTATTATGAAGGCTTAAATAAGATTTTCTATATAATGTGCACGATAACCAGCAAATAGTCAGCAAGTGATAAACTCTAATTATCCTGATCATGATTATTCTACCAGAACATTGTGTCTGAATCTACCATCTGACCCTGACTATCCCTACTTAAAACTTCCAGTGATTTCTAGAAGCCTAAATTGGCATAGTAAAGGATGTAACTTTCCCTATGGTCTGGCCTCAGCTTCTCTTGGCACCCTCATCACCACCACTATCCCTACCTCTCCCCTTTTATATTCCGATCAGTTATGTCTGGGTTCAGCTATCCAAGTAGACCATAGCCTTTCAAGTCTCCAAGACTTGGCACAGGCTTTTCCCTCCTTCTGGCATACTCCGCCCTCCCCGCTCTTACAGAAATTTTTCTCCTTGTCTGGACACCATTATCTACCTTTCTTTGTAGATCAACAAGCCTCCGGTCACTATATAAACTATCTAGAGCACACTGAACTTCCTTATATTTGTGTCCATCTTCCTGATGGGGAGCCTGTGAATTTCTCTGGGTCGGGAACCCTCTTTAAGTGCTCTCTAAGTTCCAGAACGTTTAGAACATAGTAAATATTTAATATATACCATTAAACAAATGAACAAACTCCTAGCCACAGCCTCCCGCCTAACATGTGCTCAATGACATTTACTGAATTGCATTGATTGAATTTAATGTAATTTAAACAACTCTTGCTCCTACAGAACCCCAGCCTATCTGTGAACAGAGATTAGACACTCCGGGTGTTTCACGGTTCTGTTCCGGGCTACTAATGCGAGTTCATACATGGGCAATTTTAAGAAAGAGGTTTTCCTTACCAGAACCTAGAAAAAAGTGGGACTTGCGGCAGATGGCACTAGAAAAAGGGTTGCCTGCCCAGAGATGCTGCTTCATCACTTGTTTCCCTTAAATCTCGTGCCTGGAGAGACAAGAGAGGGGGAGGGAAGAAAAGTGGGGGAGCGAGTGAAAAAGTTGGCTCGCCTCTCCTCCTCCCCCTCCCACAGAGAAGGACTACACTAAGGCAGATGTCCTAGGATGCTTCCTAAGGGACCTGATTCTTGGGGTCCTCAAATACGTGCTGAATTTCCTCTGCCCCTTCCCTTCTTCTCTGGCTCTCCTTCTCCATTCACTCCCCCCCCCACACCGCGTCCCCCCATCACACGAACACTGGCACACCCGGGAGACCAGATAGCCGCCCCGCCTCCACACTCTCAGTTCTAGGACCACCGTGACTGCCAACGGAGGATGCCAATCACAGGCAGCCTTAGCCAGATCCCTGGGAGTTGAGTAAAAAAAAAAAAAGGTTGAGGACAGAGAGGAAATGGACATAGCAACCTCTAATGCCCAAAGAAATCTCAGTATGCAAATGCATACAGGATCCCGAGCAAGGAAAGAGCAGGATATCTCCGACTACTCAGAGGACGTGGAACACTACAAACAGGAACTTTAAAGGAATGAAATCTGTTGCCTGTTCCACTAGGAATATTGTTTGCAAGGCACAAGGTGTCTTTTGGTAGTGAGCACCCTCTGCGCATGCGCAGGTCCATTCGGGAATTACTGCCCTGCCGCCGACTAAGTTGCATTCCTTGAATCCTCGCAGGAAAGACAATTCTTTAATCAGAGTTAGTAATGTGGACAGTACAAAATCGAGAGAGTTTGGGGCTTCTCTCTTTCCCTGTGATGATTGCCATGGTCTGTTGTGCACACAGGTGAGCTGCAGTTGTTGAACGTCTCTTTTTTCTTGGTGTTTTTTTTACATGCTTGCTGGATCATGTAGCTTGTTATTTGGGGGTAAGGTGTGCTTGTCTATATTTATGTCTGCTCGCAGTTTGTGTTCATTTTGAATACGGTCCCTACTTCTTCCCCTCAGCGCCAATGAGCCCAGCAACATGTCATACGTGAAAGAGACAGTGGACAGATTGCTCAAAGGATATGACATTCGCTTGCGGCCGGACTTTGGAGGTAATGCTTCATCTTTTTTCAACCTGTAACCCATACATATCTAATTCTCCTTTCCTGTCAAAGATAAATGTCAAAAAAAAAAAGCATGTCATTTCCGCAAGTGTGCGCTACGCCCTACGCCCTGGACACACACACACACACACACACACACACACACACACCCCGGACCCTCAGTCGCAGGTGGATGAAACCCCAGGCAGAGCCGACCTTCCCCCCGCCCGACACACCCTCTGCATAGTCACTGCATCACGCGTGTGCCCACACCTGTTTTCCTAGGCTGTCCCTTGCAAGGGGGAGTGGGGGATGGAGGGAGCCCATTCAAAATGTAGTAAGCGCAGGGAAGCCCCCTGGCTCTCCCCATCCTGTCGTCACTCTAAGGATATGTCCATAATGTGTCCCACCTTCCCGCAGGGCCCCCTGTGGACGTAGGGATGCGGATCGATGTCGCCAGCATAGACATGGTCTCCGAAGTGAACATGGTGAGTGGCCTCCCGACGGGCCCGCGGCCGGGCTTACGCAGATGTGAAATGGACGGGTCCCCTCGCCCTCTGCGTTTCATTGGCGGTCACTTCGCCCCGGCCCCGGGAGTCCCATTCCGCGTGTTCCCCACACTAACACCTCCCCCCCCGCCGTTGCCCCTGGTTTGTATTTTCAACACACACACAGGCTACTGCAGTGTTCCAGAGGAAACGTGCTCGGCACTATTTGCGGAAGGACGGTGACTGTGGCGCGGGCGGATCGGGTGGGGCGGAGTCTGAGCGATACTTTAGCCGGGTTTCCTTTGGTGTTCCGATGCGGAGGGCACCATCTGCCGGCGGCCGGGCGGCCTGCACTAGGGTCCCCGGACCGTGGTCCGTAGCCGCCTAACCCGGAGGGGTCGCTGAACCCGAGAGCCAGCCCAGGTCCCGCCACCAGGCGCCCGAGCACACAGACACGGTTTCAGAGTGTGCCCTCCTTCTTTCCAGGCTCTAACACACCTTGTCGCGGGAGCAACAGGCTGAGACAACAGTTCATGCTGGCTAATACGAAAGTGCTCAAGTCCGCTTCTGGGGAGGCTTGTATTGTTCCCATGTGGGGGTTGATGAATTTGTCTTCTAGCAGCTTGCAAATTTAAGTTGAAATAGAATGGGTCGGAGTTATTGCTTTGCTTTACCCTAGAAACCTAAGCATGCCAGAAAAGCCTGATAATTAAAGGTACGGCGGAGGGGGTGGGGTGCGGTAGTAACATAAGGCAGCCCTTTCAAAAGGTTAACATTCTTTTATTTCCTTTTTTCCTTCTCCCTTTCTGAAGCTGTTGCACAGTAGCTGTCATCTTCTCTCTTGGCTGTTTCCAACCACTGTGGGGTAGCAGTTTTCTAGTTGTTAGAGTTTCTAACTGTTGCTTCTTGTAAGGCAGGGGGAAAAGCCTGTTGCTTTTCTAGAACCAACCACCCAGGGAACAGCTAGATCTACGTGAGCAAAATGCCATTTTTATTCCATTTGCGAAAAAAAATATTGTGGCAGCAGACATTTAGACAGCCCGAATAATTTAAAGACTAAAACCCTCTGGGATTTTGTCACTCTATAGTTGTAAAGGCTACTGAATTGTCATTGTCATTTCATTTCATTTCCTTACCAGTGTGCCGTTTTATTTTAACACGCTAAGGTTTAAGAATTCTTTCTTTTTTTCGGTTATGTCAGGAAAAAAATAAATATGTTTATAATCTATTGAATAGGATTAGAAGAAAAAGTCTATTAAATGTGTATCTTTTATAGCTGTAACTTTCCTTGCTTTAAGTGGCTTATTTAAAATAATGTCACTGATGGTTGTATTGGGAAAAGAAAAATAATTTTTTAAAAAAATGAATGCACAGTGAATATTTTCTGACTTGAGAAAGATTTTTAACAGACTGACTTATTTATAATATTCTGTTCATATACATCTCACTACCACAAAGCAACCCGAAACCCACTACTTACAAACACTGGGGAATGTAACAACATGTGCACATACACAAATAATACCTCCTCCATGTCACTGCAACTGGACAAATTAGATAATGAATTAAAAAGCAGTCTGTATCATATAGATAAATGATGATAATATTTTCCTTTTCAGTCATTTATTTTACCACCTTGTAAGTACCCACATAGATCATTTATAAAATGGGAGAAGATTCAGACAGCTCAAAAGTCAAACAGTGGTTTGCCAGTGTCCATTTTCTGGATAGGGTGCGATGCTCTTCAGAATTTTTTAAAAATGCATAATTCTGTTGACTATATTTACAAACAACTTCTGAGTTACAATGAGAAGCCGATTGAATAGGGAAGTTGCTATTAACCAAAACAACCACCATAACAACAAAAAAGCTCTGTGTAACCAGTTGTTCAACTGAATTCATACATAGCCCAGACAAAAAGGATTGAATTTAATTGCAGTACCACTGGAAAGGGCTCCTAATGATGGAATAATACAGCCTATTTACTTATTGCACCATGGATATATGCACTTGATTTTTAAAAAATATTCCCCCAACAGATAAGCCTTTGAAAAATGTATTGTACTGAAATACCAATTACCTTTCCACAGTGGTATTAGAAACATGATGGGAAAATAGAAACCACTAAACAGTGAAAAATAATAAACCTTGATTTACTTACTGTTCCTTGTTTTAATAAGAGTTACCAATGAGATCCAAGGTCTGTTTTATCTTTCTCACCTATGACAAAGCATTGAGATAAATAGATTGGAAATAAGCCCAAGAAAAATGGAAACAAAGAAAAATTTCAAGATCGAGGGCTATCAACACAACCTCAGTAGTTAGCCCTAGTTAAGAGCATTGTCTACAATATGCTTTGAATTTTAGATAATATAAATAGGGCTGAAATATCAATGGGAAATAAGACTCATTGATTTTTATATTAAGCATGTTTCAGTACCCTGATAGGCAGTAAATTTTGAGGTTATTTAAAGGGAAATTTTTACCAAAATTGAAAAAAATAAGAATGGACAAGGAATATAATAAAAAATAATTCTAAAGAAAATTCCTACTAAAATCCATTACTAAAACACTGTTCATTTTTATATTTTTATTCATTACCATTATTACCCACCTATTCCATGGCTGGGGAAAATGACATGATAATTGTATATTACATTAATGGGTTTGAGAACTAGGCTCTGTTAATTTTTGTTCTTTTCTTATGCTACCCTAAGTAAAATATAATTCCACTTTGGTTTGTAGCATATCTGTTTTAAAGACTAACATAACATCACATAACATCGAGTATTTTCTGATTCATGTTCTTCAGGATATAGAATGTTTTTCCCAAATTAAGAAAATGAAAGAGAGCTTTTATAGTCAAGAACCTATATAATCAAGAATTGTTGATTCTGAGCAGTGAATTCTGAGCAATATTCCTCTGAGGAATAATTCTGATGCAGAAAAGCTATACTTAGGAGCAAAACTTTTCTTTTCAGGAATTAATATTATTGATTAAATTAGGAAGGATTTTTCCTCTGGCATTATGGGATATAGTATGCAGGTGATAGTGATTATATACTGTTATTTTCTCAACAATTATCTTAAAAAAGCTACCGTGATTTCCATTTGTTGCTATATTAAGCCCTTCAAACCTTCCCTTGGTTCCTGCCAAGCTATATATCTACTGTCTCTCTCTCTAGACGAAAGCTGAGCAGAAGGCGACTAGGGCAAAAAGAAGACCACAGCCCCCATAAGTTGCCTGAAAGTAACCACTAACATCGGTTAATATAAACCAAGTAAAACACAGATAGTAGTAAGCAGGTCTTCTCTTTGAGCAGAAGACTGGGGGAAGCATGGTATTAACTACCTGCAAACAAGTGGTTGAATTCTTGCATTTCAGATTCCAATAACTAGTTGTGTCTTCTTATTAAGGAGGTGCCTTCTGATGATCAAGTGGGAGTCGCAAGCATAAAAACTCTCTGTTCCCGACCTAAAGAGCAATGAACGGTCCAAGGGGTCACTCCCAGAAGACTTTATATATATTGAATCCTAACCCCAGTAGCCACTCCCAGTAATAGATAACTACCATGCCTTCATTGTTTCCTTTCTTCCTTCATGCATGGGTGGATGCAGTAGTGAATGCTCTTCTACCCACTGCAATGAAAAATAAAAAGAGTTAAAAAAAAAAACCCACAAAAGCCTAACATGAGCCAATTGTGTAAATAATACCTAAAAGAAAAACAAATATAATTTACCGAACATCCACTGTGGTTAAATTCCACTGCTGTTGCTGCTGTTATTTTACTGTTTGATTCCAGAGGATTCTGGTACATACTGCAGTTATGGCTAATTACTTGGTCTTGGTGACACAAAACAGTAACCACTTTCAGAATCCCCCTGCCCATTTCTTTAAGTCAGTGTTTCTCAGTCTGTAATGTGTCCTTGAATCACTCTGAGATCTTAAAATGTTAAAATGCAAATTTTGAATCAGAGATCTGGGATGGGGTCTACATTCTGCATCTCCTGAGTGATGCCAGTTGCTGGTGTGGAGCAGCAAGGTTGTAGTACATTATTCTAAGATCTTGCATTATGAAGAAATGAACTTTTTTTCCTCTTAAATTTCTCTAAGAATGTTATTATTTCAAGGCTCCAAATTAAGTTTTAAGTTAATTTCTAGAGAAACAGGTAGCTGTGCTCAAAGGGAACATTAGTTTAGTAATTGATGATAAGCAACAGGACAAAGGCAAGAGCCTGGATGTTGAGGCTTGACTTCACTAATAAGCGGTCCTCCTGAGTCAATGCTTATGAGTCAACCAACCTGAAAAGATGGCTATGAAAATATTTCCAAGCACAGTCACTCTGACAATACTATCCTGCTGCTTTACAGAACACCAATGACTTTTCTGCTTCAGAATAGAGAACATTGCAAACTGTTTTCCCCCACTGAGGATCTTGCAATAGCTTTGTAAAATAGCCTAAACATACTCTTGTTGATGTCAGGAAATTCTCTGAGGTTATAATAAAATTCCTTTGCAAATAGAGCAAACAGGTCAGTATCATTTAAAGGCAAGAACAGATATCTGCAGTTAAATAAAGATATAAATACATTTTTTTTTCTTACATGAGTAATCAACCAGGTCTCACTTTTAGGTACTGGGTTACAATATTACACCATCTTGAGAAGCCGAGAGAGGAAAAATTTCCCTTTGCCATTCTGTTTGGAGATAACAAAAAAGATCTTTTTGTACCCTAAGCCACAACAAAGCGAGCCTACCCAGATTTTTTTTAAAGTTTGAGTTCACATTTGAAAGCCCATGTTCTTGGGATTACAAGGCCAGACTGGATATTAAAGTGTATAATACAATGAAAAGAAATAGTAACATTTATTGAATAAATCCTATGTATGAGGTATGTTTATCAAGTGTTTTATATACTAGCTCATTTAATCCTAGATTTAAGGATATCAGGTTATTATCCTGCATTATAGATGGAGAAACTAAGGTTAGATTAAATAG